GTCTAGCCGTACTTAAGTACGGCTAGCCACTTCGACGAGAGAAAGATAGAGTGGGAAAGAAGGTGGGGGAGAAAGAAAGACAGAGACAAACAAAGAGAAAGAGAGAGAAGACGAGCGCTACATAGAGAGAGAGAGAGGCAGGCAAAAAAAGAGGGGAGAGAGACTGAGAAATAGAGAGGGTGACTGCTCGATTGAAATTATGACATTGTTCTTTTCTTCAAATTGTCTAATTGATTCCTTCAACTCCAAAACGGAGGAAAAAAGATGGTTCATCCAAAAGACATTCGCAATCTTCATTTAGATCTAGGCCTTGAAACTAGATCTATGATTTATGTTGTCTGTCTACTAAATCTGACTGTCTAGATCTAGATCTAGGCCATGGCTATAGATTAAGAAGAACCTAAGTCTACCCTGAGCTAACAGGGCGCTGAAACTTTCCGAAATCACAAAATATTTCCCCTACCAGGTCTACTTCGTGACTTTGTTCTTGGTTACGGGGTCTGTAAACACCCCCTTTATCTATATGAAAAACTGTTTGATAATACGTAGTGTCTACGTACACGGTAACCGGGCACCTAGTCTTAGTATCTACGTACACAGTAACCGGGCATGTAGTCTTAGTATTTACGTACACGGTAACGGGAAGGAATATACAGTCAAACCTGTGTAAGACGGCTACCCATTGTCAAGGAGAAAAGTGTCCATATAAGATAGGTGACCATTTTAGGCAGGACTGATCAAGATGAAGAAAACAAACCATTCCCATTGGACATGATTGGAAGTTACAATCGAAAGTAGTCGCATTGTTGTTGTTGATTAGTATTTTGTTTGTTCTTCTTATTTTGTAGCTTATTTTGCACAAGGGTGACAATAAAACGAAATGTATCAGACGAAGAAGACCGAGAGCCATGTTAAAACAAACACATGGGTCGTAAATCACGTACGATTTGTGTATGAGTTCTGGGCGGGCTTGGGTTATGAGGGATCACATGCTTACCTCACCAGCAGCTGAAAATTGGTACCTATTGGTCAACAGTGGGAGGGGCCTACGCAACATGATCGGTTGGAGGGACTACCTAACAACAACGACAAGTGATTGGATTATGACGGCTCGCCCTCAACGCCAGGGACCTGTGCACAATTTATGACAAAACGTAATGGAGTCACTAAGGTGGCCGTCTAAGACAGGTGTTATAATTGCTTAGTGTGATAGGGGTTGTGTGTTAAAATATGGTGGCCGCGGCCGCGTTGGACAGGTGCCCATTTTACACAGTTAAATTATATAGAAAAAACACTAAGGGGGAAATGGAAAGTGGCCGTTTGTACAGGTGGCCGTCTTATAGAGATGGCCATTAGGGCAGGTTCGACTGTATAATCAATATTTGTCCTGTGCTGTCACTTGCTGAAAAAAAAAAAGAAAGTCATACAAGCACCTTTTTGGGCTTGCCATCGTGACCGGTCAGTGAACCTGTGCGTGCACATCACATTGTGAGTAGGCTACCAGTTGGGGTCACCAAAGTTCATTCAAAGTTTGTGCGCTGCGAAGTATAGGCTCCGTAATGGGGGGATTATTTGGAAGTGTATACAAACCCGGTAACCGGGAACAAAGTCACAAAGTAAACAGACCCGGTAGGGGAACTCTTGTGATTTCGGAAAGTTTCAGCGCCCTCTTGGCTCAGGGTAGACCTAGGTTCCCCACTGTCTATATCTTTCTCTCGTTCCCTCCTGCCAACTGGGGCGTATCATACACTTTGCTAGCACTTCCCCCTGCTCTCTCTTTCTCTCTCACTCTCACACACACACACACACACTACCGGGTCTGGGCGCTGAAACTGTCCGAAATCACAAAAGAGTACCCTTACCGGGTCTGTATACTTCGTGACTTTGTTCCCGGTTACCGGGTCTGTATACACTTCGGGATTTATTTTTTTTTAAGGTACAGTCGGGGGAGGGGTGGGGATGAAGGAAACACCATATTATATGACAAAAACTGAACTTGGAGTTCTGAACAGCCCGGTTACCGTTTGTGTGACACTGAGACTACTGCCCGGTTGCTGGTTACCGACGAGTACGTAGACGTAGACACTGAGGCTAGTTGCCCGGTTACCGTGTACGTAGACACCGTTGATAATAATGATAACAATCAAATTCAAGACGTGAGCTTTAATATCCAGTTTCAAGATCTATCTAAACTGGCCCTCCATGCATCGGTAAGATTGTACTTTACCGGACCACCGGTCGGAACTACTTTCGCTGTGGCGCCCCTGGTGCCTAGTGGTCCGCTGTTCTTCGTTTCCGAGCTCCCCTACTCACTCTCCTACTCAGTTTTCTACGTCCTCACTCTTCAACTGCCAGCAATCGACTGCCGTCTCTTACCGGGTTTT